AAAAAAAAAAGTGGGTTTTTCCTCCCCCCCTCCCACAACAGGAAAAACCCCCCCCCCCCCCCCCCCCAAAAAAAAAAAATAATAATAATATATATATATATATATATATATATATCTGAAAAAAGATTGCTTAATATGCCTGAGAAGATGTTAAATGTTGCATCAAAAGTGCAAAGATGGCAGAGCCGTTCCCTCTGCCCGTGTGTTGAGCATTAACTGTGGTTGAGCTGGAATAATGGCTGGCTGCGCGTCGTTCATCACGTTAAACAGGAGCATGGGGGGCTGGTTTTGCGTCTCTGTGCACAGATTAAATGTAAAAGTGCAAAATCCTTTACATAATAGATACGTGGATGGGTCGTTGAACATATGTGGGCGGCTTGGTCACGCTTCGACACATTTCGTGGAAACGGCGATCTCATCTGGCTTCGTCCATTTATTATTTTGTTGTTTCCTTTGAGTCTGCATTGCTTATCCATACTAAATCAATCCGTGGGATTATCCATTTTTTTATTTGATCACTTCCTACACATTGCCGTTGACATCATTTTCTCTAAAGTTAGGCATGAGATTCCCACGGTATGATAAACTTTGGAAAAACCACCTTTTGGATTTTACTCAAATATGAAAAAAGAATTTTAAAAACATGATCTAATAACTGTAAAGTGAAACGCAAAAAAAATCGACAATTATTCCGAATGCAGCTGAAACGGCGTATTGGTTGCACAGAATGATTGTGATGCATTCAAAAGTAATTTTTCAAGTTTACCAAGCAGATTGTTTTGGCTGTTTTGCTTCTCTCAGTCTAAAACATCTATAATACTCTGATATTGGCTGGTTAATTAATCTCACTATCCTCTCAGTTGGCTTTTTAGCAGCTTGCAGCTCGCCAACTGCGGTTTTAAAATGCCGTCATCGTAAAAGAAGCGACGGGTGATGCTTCTTCAGTTTCCACATCATAAATGTTGCTGGGTTTTTTTTTTTTTTGAGTAAGCAGCTGAACTTTGTATTTTATTTGAGAAAGGAAAGGTGTAGCAGCCAGCTGACTGGCAGTGTGCAGCAGCAAGCGAGAGAGAGGCAGAGTTATGTTACTTTAACTATGTGCAGCCTGAGAATATTCTAGTGTCTAGTGAGAATTGTCCTTTCCCTCATTAAGAATATTTTATCATCATAAATCGACGTGCATTGATTTTTAAAAGTAGAGTCTCAGCCCAGCACTGAAGCTCTTGTTCCTCTTCTTTTGTTCTGGCCCTAGTGAAACTGTGAAGCCTCCTGTAAAAACTCTTATGTCACCTTGATTTTCCTTCTTCCTGTCAACCCCCTCGAGTCTCCGCTCGGTTTACATAAAGCTTTCATCCCTAACGTCCCATCCTTTGTGTGCAGGGAAGTCTGTGTGCGTCAGGATGGCCGGGTACATCTGACCGTGGTGTATTTTGGGAAAGAGCAGATGAGTGAAGTCCGGAGCACTCTGGAGAACACATCTAGGTGAGTCTGATCTGCAGCCAAGTTCAGCCAAGTTTTGAATCACATGCTGCACGAAACAAACAGAATAAGCGCTGCAAAACTATATGTGTTTTTTGTTGTTTGTTTTTTTTTGTTTTTTTTTTGGGCCACTTTTCCACACGTAACCAGAATAATCTCCTCTGTAATCATTCTTCCTGTCATGACACACAAATGCAAAACATACACACTCCTCCTGGCTCTTCATCCTGCCACAGCCACTCATGTATCTAATGAATAATGGAGCAGCGTGTCACCCGTACAGAAGAGCTGAAAAGCTTCCAGCCAACACTGATAATTTACAACATGCCTGCAATCATCCCTCACTCACTCAGCCCTTTTTGCACAGATTTCTACATACGCACACACATACGCATGCACAGTCACCACCTAGGGAGACAGTAGCTGTTGGCTGATCGGGAGTCAGGTCCACTGCGAGTTGAAGTGACTGATTCCCTGAGGGGTTTCTATGGTGATGCGGGCCCAAAGGTTTGCGTGTGGCCTTGAAGCAGTCGGACCATCTCCAGTGTTGCACAACGTCTCATTGTCTCGCTGTCGGTGATTTCTAAAACAGGCAGAGTTAAACTTTCAGTAATGAGTAAAAAGAAAAGCAAACTTGTAAAAAAATTAAAATAAAAAAAAATGAAGATGGGATCTCTGAAAGATGGTTTCGGATGAAATGGGATCCCAAAGAGATTTAGGGTTCCTCTTAGAGTACAGCAAAACGCATCAGGGTGTGATCTATCACAGTTTGAAATTAAAAAGCACCGTTAATTTGTGATTTTTATTATTTTTTTTAATTTTCATTTTTCATCGTATCTGTAGGAAAACAAACGAAACAACAAAACTTACAATCTGAATCAAACCTTTTTAGTGGTTTAAAAGAGTTATTGTTATTAATCCCGCACGTCACAAGTATTAACGAAATAAAAAAATGTTTTAACATATAATAAATAATGCAATATTACCCCTCAGCTTTTCTCTGGAGTTGATATTTGTTAATTAGCTGTTTAATATTTCTCACCATAAGTCGAAAGTTGTTTGTTACCAACATATTTGTTTTTATTTGTAAATAGTCACTTTAAGAGCAATTTGGATGGCGTTTCTTATAATCAAGCCATGTCTGCATGAATGTCTCCCTAATATAAAGTTTTCCAGAGGCTGGGTTCTTCTTTTTAATGAGAGGAAAATGGTGAAGGGGATTCCCTGCCTTTGGCGAGGATGCAAACGCTGCTGCATCTATTTGGGGGGGGGGGGCAATTTTAAAAGAAGCAAATCGGAACGAATAACCTTCCCGTTTCTACATTTTTACCTTTGCACAGAATGTTATTGAACTTTTGACATGGATAAATGAAACTGTAGATGAACACATTTTATTTCCCAGGCATAATTTTCCCTGCAGCGATGTCGGCGTCATTTGAGACGGAGATCTGTTTCTGCAGATCACTTTTAACAGATTCAGCTCAGCTCCACTGGCTTAGTTTGTTTCTTCTCACAAATAGCCTCAAGCAAGTTGATCTTTTTTCTCTCTCTCCCCCCCTCCCCCCACTCCTAATGCAAGATCACATTGCAGTCACACTCTCTGCTTTCAATTAACACAGTTTACGTTCTCGCTGTGTATTATTTAGATGCATGGAAAACATTTTTGGTGAACCTGTAAGAAAGTCGGTTCTCACTTTTTAACCTTTTTCTGCCAGACACTTGGGATGCCTGTTAAAAATAGACTGAATCAGAAGCTGTACTTTCAAATATAAGGCTTTGAAATCCTGCACTTCAAAGCCTCAAACCGAGTCACAGAGGGGGTCCTGTGAGTTTATGAGCCCTATGTGGCTCAGAATGGAGGTATAAAACGATGCGAAACAAAGAGGAATAGCAGGAATGATTGGAGAGGGAGGGAGACGGCGTGTGAAGAAGAGAGAAACGCGAGTGATCTGATCTAACTGGATACCAGTCAGTCAATACACATAAATAATGGCTGTGTTGTGGACACAGAGAGGAGCGGATGGCTGCAGGGGAAAAAAACTGAAAAACTCAGAAGATGAGATCAGAAGCAGTGCTAACACGGAGAGAGAAAAGAAACATTAAATCCCAAGGATAAAGATAAAAACAAGGATTATGTAGAAAACTGGAAAAAAGATAAAAGAAAACAGTTGCATGACATGGTGAATCATTTCATTTGAACAATTTCCATTATTTTTTTTTCTCCTTTTAATAACTCGCACCTTATCATTTGTGGCATTTCAGTCACTTCTCGGATGCCTCAAGTAAATCCTGTGAAACCCCCCCAAGGACGAATTAACTGGTCAGAAGTACAGGGAGGTTTTGAATGAATTTAAAGGCTCACAAATCGGAGCTGCACAGTTTTCATGTTCTTTCGCAGATCTTTCAGAGATGCACTGCACAAATTACTCGGCGTCATTAACTCGTGTAACCGTTTTGCCCGAGGCCTCTGCCGGCTTGCGTTCACCCTCCCATTACACGTGTGGACTACTGATTATCTGGCTCACTAAAGTACCAGGTAGTTTTGTCTTTTACGTAACTGTTTAGAGGGAAAAAAATCAACCAACCTTCATTCTACATACAAAGCAGACGGTTAAGTCAACAATAAAGCATGAGTCATTTTGTTTCCAGGGTTGTGCGGGGTGGAACTCGGGAAGAATCATGCAAAATAAAAATGTCAGTGTAAAATTCATCCTTCAGTTAGCTCACAACGAAAATATTATTAAAATGATGATGCTAAGCATTTGCATGGTTTCCTGTTTTGACCTTGCTAACCAACAGACAAATATTCACAACTGAGAATGATTGAAATATTTTGGGCACACGCCGCCGAGCTTCTGGCTCCAGGACGGGGCCCTGGTCTCCCCAGTCTGGTCAAGGCTCACCTAAGAGTGTGATCAGCTATTTGTTTAAGTATTTAACTTTAACTTTAGCTGCTGTCATGGTAGACTTGTTTGCATGGACATACAAGCCCTTTTTCACACTTGACATTAGCAAGTGTGACTTGCTTATGACTTCCTAATTTCCAGAACAGAACCAATTTAAATATTATTCAAAGACAACACAAGTAAACACAAAATGCAGTTTTTAAATGAAGTTGTTTCTTATTAAGGGAGGGGAAAAAAATCCAAACCTGCGTATCCCTGTGTGGAAAAAGTTACTGCCACCTAAACATAGTAAGTGGCTGGGCCAACCTCAGCAGTAACAACTGTAATGAAGTGTTTGGGATAACTTGCAATAAGTCATTTCCAGCAGTGGAGGACTTGCAGAATTGTTGTAATTCAGCCACAAAGAGGTTTTTTAATCATGAACATCCTTTTTAAGCTCATGTCGCATAATCACATGAAGTCCTGAAGCAACAAAATAACCTCAGATCATAACACCACCTCCACATAGCGCTATTTTTCTGTAAAGCTGTTACTTTTACACCAGATATAACAGGACACACACCTTCTAAGGAGTTTAGCTTTTGTCTAATCGGTCCTCATCAGTCATCAAAATGTGTTCTGCGCAGTCTCTCTTTTTTTTTTTTTTTTATGGTGGACACATGACCTCTGACCTTAACTGAGGCAAGTAAATCCTGCATTTCTTTGAATCTTGTTCTGGGGTTCCTTTGTAGCCGGTTTGAACATCCCATAAAGCATTGTTCACTTCACTGATTGTGTTTTTGTTTTTTTCTAACTAAAGGAATGAGCAGAGCAGAGCAACATGCTTCAGTTCCTCATTTTGACTAGAAGCCAAGCCATTTAATACAATGCTATAGTATTGATTGTAGAGACATTTGATGTATGAAAAGAAATGAGGACAATGCATTCAATAGCTATTGAATGTGTTTTTTTTTTTTTTCCAAACTCGAGCAAAATGATGGCACTGGGATTCCCATTTAAAAACCAATACCACTATCATTACTTTTACAGGAAGCAGGCTCAGTTGGCCTCCAACCAAAAGTGACAGGAGTAAACAGAAGCCACAGATTTGGGGCTTAGACCGAAGTCTGTTTCATCAACAAGCGTCACGCTTTGACTCAGCATCCGCCACCCTGTCCTTACCGAGTGTAGCTAACAGGATAAGACCTGCAGCTGAGACGTACTGTGGGAGTTTTTTTATTTTTTTTTCCTCAGACTTCTTTCTGACAGTTTCATCTGAAACAGGGTGCAGACCATCTCATCTGCAGTAGTGAAAAGGAATCTGTTGGAACAAGCGGAGGGGTGTGGCGATGTGTGGGTGACAAAAGATCAAAATAATAAAAGCGTCTATGAAAACGTGGATTTAAGTAGGGTTGCGCTGACTTTGGCTGGCTGCGCCCTCTTTATCAGTTTCTTTTCGCATTCCGTTTGGGCAACATGCAAATTCAGTCAGTGATTTCATTTTAATAGGATTTCCCTACCAGTTTATGAAAAGGTAAATTACCCAATTCTTTCAAAAAAATAAAAAAAAATAAAAATAAAAACCTGGCTTTCAACGTCCACTACTGCAAATAACCAGGAATTTATCAGCATCATTCAACAAGTGATGGATTATCCTCGGCTGTGTTTGAAATGTAAATATGCACAAGAAACTTAGCTTAGCTCGGTACAAAATGGGTCACTGGGGATTTGTCCAAAGTTCGCCCACTTGTACCTTTTTTAAAGCCGTTTGTTTTATTTAATGCATTCTTGAATTGTTTGCAAACTGAACTGCGGCTGCAGCCTAAGTAATCATGAAACGGGTACATTTATGTAGACTTTGGATTTAATATCGCTCCCCACCCCTCTTGCTGTGTTTATTGGCTTTCAATAGGTGAAAGGCCACAGGACAAAGCAGTAAATCGGAACAAAAATATTGTTTCACGAGTGACACTTTCTTTCCAATGTCTAGACAAAACACAGGAAAGAGACAGTGGTGTGAGCTGAATGCAGCTTCTTTATTGTCCTCACTCTTGTCACGCTCACCCACAGACTAATTGTTCCAGCTGTAAACTACTCCAAGCACAGAGGAAAAAGAACAAGTTAAGTATGAGCAATTAAAAAATTAGGTCAAAGTTTTTTTTTATCGAATGACACCTTAGTGATATACATCTTCTTTTCAGCAAATACACAAATGTCTAACGGATTTTATTTTAGCGATCTACACAAAGTAGTTCCTATTGGGAAGTGGATAGAAAGTTATAATATGTGAGCTTTATATACTATACGTTTTATTTTACAAATACACCCGAGGTTTATTTGCCTTTAGAAGTCAGCTAAAGAGTTAATGCAGTCCACCTTTGTGTTATTTAATATCAGTAACTCTTCTGCGAAGGTTTCAAAGGTTTGTTGGAGAAGATGCAATTCGGCAACTTCATGAAAACCAAGGTACACGGCAGAAAGGTCAGGGATAAAGTTGTGGAAAATGTTAAAGCAGAGCTTGGTTATAAAATAATTTGCTGCGCTTTGAACACCCCATGAGGCACTCTTCAATTCCTCACCTGAAAATGAAAATACCATGGCAAAACCCTAGATAGACCTGCAACGATGTGGTTCACCACCTTATAACTGTAAGTCACAGTAAATCAATCATTAATCCAAAAAGAGGCCAAGCTGCACGTTGTGCCTCTGGAGGATCTGCAGAGAGCTGCAGTTCCTCCAATGTTTTGGAGATGTTTTTCTTAACCAGGACCTGGAAAGCTGGTGAGTATTGATGAACAGAGACGGATTATGAAAGGAAATTTGTTAGAGACTACAAATGGATTGAGGCTGTGGTGGAGGGTCACCAGAAGGTAGGAGGATAACTTTAAAGATGCAGTCAGTCATAATGGAGTGGGTTAGATCAAAGTTTTTCATGTCTTATAATGCCCCAGTTAGAGTCCAGGTTTACTTTAGTTTAGAATTTGGTACGAGTTTAAAATGCTCCATGTAGCAATTCCCTTCCCCTTCATAGTTTATGCGTTTCTTTGTGTTCTCCTGCCACACAGAATCAGAATAAAACATCTTAAAGTTCGTGGCCGAACGTGAAAAAAAGGTCAGAGATTGAATGCTATTCCAAGGCACCGAAATGCTGACGAAATCCTTGCAGGCGCTCCTCTTAACAGTTTACGGGTTCGGTTGATCTCTCACTCACTTCCTGTCACATTAAAAGCTGAGACTGAATCAACACACAAATGCAGCTGGAGTCGCGTTAAAGTCGTTCAAAACAAGCAGAGTCATTGTTCTGCAGTTTGCCATCTGTGGACAGTTTGGTGCCGGCTGCACACGGTCCTGCTCTCCTGGGACTCCATGCCGACACTCGGTCTGTTTGGATTCATGTTGTGCTGACAGATATGGACTCTGTTATCTGCGCGTCAGCCGACTGCACCTCACAACACACACACACACCGACATGTAGTTACATGCGAACGTCATGCGTCTTGGAAGTTTGAAGTCATCAGAAATCTTTGGAATGTGAAGACGGATAAATAAGCGGTAAGGTGCATCCTGGTGCTGGTATTTATTTATTTATTTATTTTTTTTTTAGGTTGAGAGATATTCAGGATCAAAAGATTTCGCTGTCGTATTTATGGGAGAGGCGGAAAGGTTTGGAATGTGTCAAAGGTGTTTACGCATTAGTGCAAGAGGAAAATATGCTAATGCACACCATTCATGGACTTAAAATCCCTTACGTAGCAGAGGGATGACACTCTGAGTGATTCAAACTACCTAAAGGGAAAAACTTTTTCCCTTCGTTACAGTGAATTCTTCTAACAAAATCTTTGTAGCTGCTTTTTCCATGCGTTTTATTAGCCACTTGTATGAAAAATGATGTTTCCATCTGTGTGTTCTTCTTTAAATTTGGACACGTGAGCCACTTTTTCCCTGTGAAAAAGATGAGGGGATATGCGTGTGTGATCTGCTGTGTGTCTACGTGGGCGCACATTGGAGTAAAGGATTAGTGACCAACAGTGTGAATTGTTATGATCAAAGAAAAAGCCACAGCTGTGTGCATCTGGATCCAGCTGTTTCTCCTTACTCGCACCACAGCAACGAAAACCCACAGAGACAGACGGGCTCGTTTTCCTGCGGCCCGAATTGGTGACTCCTCTTCAGTCATCTAGATCCAAATCAGCACTGAAATGAGTCTACTAAGTCTAAAAACTGTTTTCCATTTCAGGTCTTCAGGATTTTTTATTTTTTTTTAATGATATTGCTCATTGGCGATGCATGTAAACGCTGTTGCACTTAAATAATATCTCCATGCTTCAGAGATGGGAGATAATGGCATTAATCAGCCACATACAGGACAAAAAAATCAGAGAAAATTGTCGAACAATTTCATCCATGCTTTTAAAACACTTGTAAACAGAATTAATAAATACTTCTTCTCTAATGACGTGTGTGTGTGTGTGTGCCCGCGTTTTAAAGGGAGACCAGCTTCAAGAACTACACGCTGCTTCAGCTGGACGAGGAATTTTCTCGGGGACGGGGCCTCGACGTCGGGGCCCGGGCGTGGAAGGGAGGCAATGTGCTGCTTTTCTTCTGCGATGTGGACATCTACTTCACCGCCGACTTCCTCAACACCTGCAGACTCAACACGCAGCCAGGTGATGTGCTGCACGAACTCTATGACAGAAAACAATCCAAAGTCTCTTCCACACTGAAAACATTACAGCTTTTACTTCTGGCTAATTGTAGCTTCACGCAATAATCAGAAGCAGTGTGTGTCTGATTTTACAGATGATGTTTATTTCTGGCGAGAGGCTAGATTAACATTAAGTGGAGAAAGTGAGTTGGTTCATTTTTAGAGGGCTTTCTAACAGTAAAAGGTGGAGGTATACATCGATAAAACCTGACAAAATGGAACAATCCAAGTGACCCACAGTATCATAGATCATCTACCATACTTCACAGTGAACATGGGATCCTTTTCCACTTCTCAGCCCTTTGTTTTTCGAAACTAAAAGTGAAAACACTTTGCCTACACAGCTAAAAATGAGCTAGACAGTAAATTCCCTTCATCTTTTCTATCAAATTTTGTTTTTCTCTTGAATCTTTCGTTTTCATACCTCCACACTTGAAAGGAATAGATCCTGGCTGCCTGTTGTGTGCAGCAGCACCCTGACAAATCTGGTAATTAACTTTCCACTGGCATTTCTTGTCACCGGCGTGTCGTTTTCCATGATAAGTGCTGCTGTCGGAGAAGAGACGAGGAGTTCAGAAATCCAGGAGGAGCCCAGAATAGAAGCACTTCACATTGTGCTGATACGGTTTCGGTGTAGGGACTCCCTCTGGGCCCAAATAGACGTTTTAAAGACTGGAGAGGGAAACGAACTGCAGATATCTGAGGGGAAAAAAACTGCTTCGACTTGGAAATGTGTAATTGAGGTTAAATTAAAGTTCACACTGGTAATAAATGAATTAAGGGTACATGGTGTGAAATGTGATCAATCACCACATTTGCTGTATGCTTCAGTCTGAAATCTCGGTGGTGGTTCCATCCAGCGAAATAATTATTGGGACTAATAAAACTCTGGCTGACTAAAGTATCACTAAGATCACCAGCAAATGTCAAACGCTGCTTTGTCCCCGCAGGTAAAAAGGTGTTCTACCCCGTGTTATTCAGCCAGTACAACCCTGCCCTCATTTATGGAAGTCCAGAGCACATCCCACCCGTGGAGCAACAACTGGTAACACACGAATGATCCATACTTTCTCATTTTCCTGACTACTTGTGGAGACGGTTTAGAAATACTTATCCTCTTCTGCAGCTAAGTCTCCAAATCCTACTGTGCGCGTTTCACAATACGTTTGCAACTCTCCTTCTAGGTGATCAAGAAAGACACGGGCTTTTGGAGGGATTTCGGTTTTGGTATGACCTGCCAATACAGGTCTGACTTTATCAACATAGGTGAGGGTTACACAACAGAATTTACATAGCAGTCACACCACTTTTACAACGGCTTCGGGAATCCATAATCAGTTCCTCCTGAGGGCTGACTGTCTGAGTAGAGGCGTGACACTGCACAGTAAAAACGGCTTCATCAGACGCGGCAGTAATATCCTCGCTGTTGTCCTAATGGTGCCGCTGCAGAACGGACATGAGAAACAGCAGAGCACTAATAGCTCAGGATTGCATTACTATTCACGATACGGAGCTTTGGTTTTATTATATTACCCTGAACGGTAATTTAATAAAGCAGCAACAGTGTAGCTCAGAATCTTCCTATGTCCCGTCTGTCTGTCTGTCTGTCTGTCTGTCTGTCATGAAAAAGTGAGACTCGTGTATCACATTGATTCATTACACACGGAGTGATGATTTAATTGAAATGATTACGGTTCACGGCTCATTAAAAATCAAAATCCAGTTTATTAAAAGAATGAAATATTGCATAGGACCAATAAGAAACTATTTTTTATAAAAATAACTAACACCCTACTCAAGAGTGTAGCTATGTGCAGTATAGTACATGCATTCAGTATGTAGCTGGGGTTTGTGCTTAAAATGATAAAAACACTTCTGGCATCTCTAGTTCTGGAGTGATGTAACACAACCTAATTTACTCGTGACTAATGTCCTGGATAATTCTATGTGTTGAGGCTCTTCATGCACTTTCCCTAGCTTCACTGTGTGCCTTGATATTCTTAAATAGGTTTGGCTTCACAAGTTTCTTTTTTGTTCATTTTTTTTTTTTTTACCAAAAATATTTTCCTTTCACTCAACTTTCCATCCATATGCCTTTTGCACTTGCTTTTGTTTGCACATAGACTCCAGGACTAATTGTCAAAGGTTTAACTCGATCAATTTATCTTAGCCAAATGATTCATGCAGTGAGTAATGTGTGAAGACGCATCCAGACTATGACCATCTAAAGTGCTTTAACAGAAGGCTGCTCGGCCTCCTGTCTTAGTCATAGACATTTCCCCTCTCACTAAAACAGTCTGAGCTCTGTGAAAACACTTACTTTTAGCTACAGAAGACAAAATCCCACTCTTGCTCTGCAAATAAAAATAGATATATAACAAAAGACCCTCACCTTGGCATTTTAATTGTGAACTCATGAAACTTGTATTTAGATTCAGCCCAAAGACTATAGAAGTTATGCAGATCATTGCTAGAGAGCTCTTCCTTAAATTATATCTTGCTTCCTCTATTTTATTTATAAGGGTATCCAAATTTAGAACCATTATTATAAAGTCAGATCATGAATTACAGGCATAGTAAAACAAGTGTTCACTGCTTGTCGTGACTAATTTATGAATCTATAATCACATGTAATATTTTACCAGGTATTGAGATGATTTAATTTGATTAAAATGATTGAAATCTAACCTCAATGTCCAAGGAAAAAAATAATTCTCACCATATAATGAGGGAGTTCCTATAATTTAGAAATGGATTTGTAACCAACAGATTCTCTATAAAGTTATTTCTGATTTCCTTCCATCCTGTGTTAACACACAACTCTTTTGCAGAGACGGCTGCATTTCCTGATCAATTATTCATTTGCGTTTCGTTAGCAGCTGGTATCTATTTTCCCTCCTGAATCGTCTGGAAGCAGCAACACTGTACTTACCTTTTCAAACATGGCATTTTCATTTTCGGCTTACTTTTTGTCTGGCACACGAGGACAATCTAGGACTTGCTGTTTATTTGACTTTGGAGGTTTTTGGTACATAAATAATATATTTTTAGAAAACAGAAAAGAACAGGTGTTGTTTATCCAGACTTGTGAAAACCTGAATTTTAAAGAAGCACAGCGCGTTCTTTTTGCCTTCAGTTTCAATAAGACCATTGTAACAAAGTTAAGTTTTGTGATCTCATTTTTAAAATTTAAAATAAAACAAAGATGGAGGCAGATATAACAATCAAAATAAAACAGAAGGGAGTAGTGAGCCTTGCAGGAAGTAGCCTTCATCGCCCTAACAAATCTCTCTCAGAAAAACTGCAACCTCTTTTACAATATCTTTTTTTTTTTTTTTTTTTTTTTTTTTCCAGGAAGTCAATATGACACCATAACTGTGAGCCATGCTGCAACATGTTTAGCATTACACACTGACGCACCTTCTCATGACCATATCTGTTCTGCCAGGAGGTTTTGACATCGACATCAAAGGCTGGGGCGGCGAAGACGTCCACCTCTACAGAAAGTACCTCCACAGCAACCTGCTGGTCGTCCGGGCACCGTCGCGCGGCCTCTTCCACCTGTGGCACGAGAAGCACTGCGCCGACGAGCTGCCGCCAGACCAGTACCGAATGTGCATGCAGTCCAAGGCCATGAACGAGGCCTCGCACGGCCAGCTGGGAATGCTCTTCTTCAGGCATGAGATCGAAGCTCACCTCCGCAAGCAGAAGCTGCAAAACCCAATGAAGACATGACTCTGGACTGAGAACGGCTAGGCACTGCATCCAACAGGTGAATCGGTGTCTTAGCTTTGTGTAATTCTGAAAGAAATGTTTGGTAAAGTTGGCTAATTTGCTGTCCTTCTGTAAACCAAATACAAGACTCACTCTTTTATACGTGTACAGGAAACTTAGAGAAAGAGTTTGGTTGAAAAATTGTATTTTGTATTTTCTCTCCATATGTAAAATGTGGTTTAGGTGCATCTGTACTTATTCCTATGAAAAAATACCACCAGCTATTTATATATATATATATATATTTTATTGTCCGTTGAATTCATGTTCAACAAGCAAAGTTAATTGATCTCAACCATATGATGTAAATCGGATCTAAAAAGTAAAAATATGCAGTTCCTGAAGTGTCAATCTTCCTCAATGAAGAGTTTAGATTAGATTTGATTCTGCAAAAGTCTGGATACATTTAATCAAAAGTGAGAAACATGCATTTATGAGTCCAGTGAGTAGTTTAAATGCATTCATCATGGGCTTTTAGCCTGATGATACAATGTGAAACTTCAAATTTGTTGCCAGTTTGAATTTATTGGCTATGTTATTTGATTCACACAGAGTCAAAATTGGACACACAGGCTCAAAAATAGACATGCACTTCTATAAATATTTGCATAAATGCCCATTTGCAAGTTTAACTTCAACCATATGCTTTTTTTAACAATAGCTTGGTTTTCTGGCGTAGCTTTTAATCATAGTTCAAACCAGTTTTGATTTCTGGTTGGGACCATTGACTTGTTGGTACATGGGATCTTGTCTGAGTTTTGGGTGGGAGTTTAAGAATAAGGAGGTAGACACCTTTCACTGTTCTAGCCATACTTTGTCAAATTATATTAGACTTTGGCAAAAAAGTCTAATGTCACTGTGACCAAACAGTCCATCTTTGTCCCCTTTTGCATTTTGGTTTGTCCATGTGGGCAGCCGCACATTTCTATCAAGCTTGAAAGTCTTCGATTTTAAAACGGGCTTGAACCTTGATCACATGGTTGAATCTTGGATGCCATCGGATGTTCCAAGAGAACCGTGATCCGAAACGCACATCCAAAGCAAAATTTTGGATTGATAAAGCTGGCTAATGATAAATCTCTGAAATTGCTGCAACCTTATTAAAACATAACCCAGAAAACTAACCAATTTAAACAACAATTTCTGATAAGGAGAGGGTGCAAATAGTTTCTTGTTGTTTTACAAAAGCATATGGTTTTGCTGCAGCTTACAAAAGCACATTATCCAGATGCTTGTATGCATGTGTTTGAGTCTGTATGCAAATGTTTGACAATGTGTGGAGAAAATCCACAATACATTCAAATGTGCAGTTCCAGTTCTGGTTTTTAGAAACCATTGAAACTGTATACTTCATAGTTTCTCCATTCTGTAAAACGAGCAGTTCAAATGCTT